TCTCTGTGCACCGCTCCGCGTTAATTCATGCGAGCTCCAGGTGGATAGAAGAGAAAATTAGGAGAACAATAGTTGAAATAATTACGGTATATTCATAATCTCCTTTGAACAGCTTGGGCGACAAAAAAATATACAAGATGTCCCAGTTTTTGCGACTTTCATTTATACCGATTTATTCAGGTTTTCTAAGCAATTTGGAATTAATTCTTCTTCATTGAAAAGTCGTTAATCGCGTTACTCGCGATTTTCAATTTTTATCACAGCATATCTTTCTAAGGCCCGAAGTAAAATTCTGTTTAAGTAAAGTCCATTTCAAATTAACAGAGGAAGGCAATTTTGTTATCCATTTGATCGTTTGGAAGTATAGTTTGCGAAAGCTCCACTGTTTTGATTGTTTCGCCAAATTTGGTGAAATATAAACGAAACGAAAGATTCTGTTTGAAATCACCAGAATTCTGCTTAAGTCAACAGGATTCTGGTTAACCAAACAAGATTTCTGTTGAACCAGAAGCTTGTTAACTTGAACAAAATTCTAATAACTTTAATCGGAATTTCTGATTTGCATCTGTTTTACCAGAAATTTGTTGAATTCAACCAAACATTTCTTTCCATCTAGAAACCATTGATTCCTCAGGAAAAATAACTCTAAATTGCTCAGAGAATCTGTCAGCATAAATTAAAATCTCAAGAACATCTTACGTACATACACACACACACACACACACACTTTATTAGTCGGCCTAAATTCAATTGTTTAAATTGGATTTGCGATTCTGCACAATACAAAGTGCGTATGATAACTGCAACACGCTTAATAAAGTTTGTTAATTAAGCGAACTTAAAATAAATGTCGCGCGATGCGTTTAAAGCATGGGTCGCTGCACTTTTCGCGCCAGCTTATGCGTTATGTAAACGACACAGAAATAGAACACTCGATCAAACGCGATGATGATGATTGGCAGATACATAGACACGATTCGTTAAACCCGAAGTAATTAAATAATTAATTAATTGCACCCGAGGGCCGACAATCACGTCGCAAATCAAATTTATTCGCTGCCCTATTGAAGAGCACGCCTGGCAATAGCCAGGCAATCGGTAAATGTTGCTATAATGACAATTAGAACGGTAATTACCATGGCGTTTCACTCATTTCTACTTAGTCGCGCGCGCTCAATTTGATCCGCTTGTCGAATTGTGCGATTCACAGAGATTACAGTGATTACAAGTATTTTCATCGCGGCAATGTTAATGGCGGTGATGGGAACGTGACTGTCGGTGTCGTTGACGTATTACTGCAATCAAAATGATAAACAACATTGCATATCAACATCTGTCAATAGCGGTTCAGACAGTAACGAGCAAGTCGCGAATCGGAACTGGAATTATTCTTAGCTAGCATGATCATTTCTTGGTATTATTCAAGAGTAATGGCGTTTGCGTTCAATTAGACTTGTGAAACGTATTTCCATCTCTGAAAGAGAGAGAGAGAGAGAGAGAGAGAGAGAGAGAGAGAGAGAGAGAGTTTGCGTTCGAAAAGTAGTTCGTAGTAGTTCAATTCATATATTTTGTAGAAAATATTGGCACTTGACCAAACTTCGTGATATCATTTTTTTGTAAAAAATACAAATTGTAACAACGATATTTTATTTTAACATTTTAATTTTGGTCAAGCGAGGGAGCACGTACGCTTGATGCTTTTTTATCTTCTTTTTTTTAAGGAAGTTATTCTGTATGTATATATATTTTACACAATCCTACAGATTTGTTTTAAAGAGTTTCCATATTACAAAATAACAAGATCAACTAAAACTTATTTTATATAATATTGATTATAACGTCTAGGAGATGTGATTCTAATGCAAGAGATTAATAAAAAAATATTAATACATATAGTTAGTATCAATGTAATATGATGTGTTAATTAATATGTGAATAATATTCTTTATCATAATTATAATTTTATTAATTATTAGTTATAATCATGCATTTACTGCGTTAACTCTTACTTGTCTAGTTTCACTATGCGATTGTACATCAGAGAGCCTTTCCAAAATTCCAAGAAATATTAAGGCTCACTTCCACAATTTACTTTAACCGAAATTTAAATTGTTAAGAGTTTATTCAGAAAAACTTGCATGTACGTATTACAAAGATATGAAAATTGTTGAAATAATTATTTAAAAAATTATTAGAATACTTTATTTCTTTATTAATTTCCTCTAATTGTTCTTTTCAATAAATGTTTAATTTCAGGAAATATTACAATCTGTAATTAATATCCTTTGTAAGTCTAAAATGATTATAAATTTATATTCCATATTAAACAATTAAATTATATAAATAATGACATATATATCTCTCTCATGTATTATATTAAATTCTATCGTAAGATATATTTTGTATGTAAAAGTAAATTTTTTTATATAAAAAAGTAAGTTACTTACATACGTTAAGAAAAAATACTGGAAAATTTATTTTTGGAATAAAGTTTATTTCTGTGAAATAATTCGTCATTATTTATATAATTTAGTCGTACAATATGTAATACAAATCTGTAATAATTTTAAACTTATAAAAAATATCGAATATAAGAAATTATAATATTTTTTGAAAATCTATTTATTGAAAAGAGCGATTAGAGAAAATTAATAAAGAAATAAAAATTATTCTAATAACTTTCTTTCTATATTCATATGCACAAGGAACTTGACTAATATAAAATGTGTCTAATATAAGAGGCATCCTTTTACTGTACGGATCAGTTGATCCTTATGCATATGCAATATGTGATTTTGCAAGTTTGTCTAATTAAGTCTTTAACGAATTACACTCCAACTAAAGTAAGTTGTAGAAACAAGCCTAAGAATCGCTGAGACAATACGTCTCGCCGTTCACTGTACTGCAAATGCATAACACGCTTCGTGATGTCGACCTGCTCTCACACAATTTTGTTCTTGCGAAATATCTCCTCTTAATGGTCACCACTCGCTCCGCATGACTCCGTTCTTGCGCCGCGTATTCCTGTCGTTGATATTTACGATTATTATTCGGGCAAGCGCGCGCGAACTCGAATAATTTTCGGTTAGTTTCGAGCCACCGCGACGAGACCGTCGGTATCACACTCAGCGAGGACCATTCGTCATTTTGTGGCATAGCACGTACAATTCGACACAAGTTGACACTAATAAGGGAAGCGTGTTTCACTCGGCGGCGAAGCTATCTTTGCCTCGTGCAGCCGTCGTAAATAATCCCGCGCCCGCGTAAATAATTTGTTTGTTTGTTTGTTTGTTTGTCACGGTGAGCAAACGTCAATGCGGGGATCTCGTCGAGCTAACGGGACTCGATATTTTTCCGACGGTTGCATGTAGAAATGGATTGTTTCCCTTTGCGCATATACCGTGAGTGAACAGAGTTGCGTCACGTTGGAGCGCAAAACTCTCCAGCTCGCTATTTTTCAAGCGTTTAGACGGCAACAGTTACCGACAAGCGTCGCTTCTTGCCGAACGAAATCCACTTGTCTGGCAACTCAAGCTCCATACATAGTATCCTGCACTTACAACTGCTCGTAGAGCTCGCTCGTCGCTTCGTTGATTGCGAGCACCCCTTTCGTCAGGACTTGATCCTTCCGCGATTTATACCCGGCGCACGAAGCGCGACGACGAGCTGCTCGATATTTCGCTAACGACGCCCTATCCATTTCGCTAATTTTATAATTAATTCGAGCCAGTAATTCAGTGCAATATACATTAATCAACTCGAATTGACTTCCTCGATAAACATTTGTGCATTATTATTGGTGTCACATTACCTCGATAACAATTATGATTAATAAATTCGTTATAGCTACAGTTGACCATATCAAGCGAGACGAGCACTTGCAGTTTGTAGTTGATAATTATTTTCTCACATTGGTTCGACTTACTATTTCATGCAATCATAAAAAAACCGATCATTTTCTATCGCATTCGACATAACGAATTCTTACAATGCAATTTCGAATCGCTTACTCTTAAGGTGGAAGTCTTAATTCCAGTCCAGTCTTAACTCTGTCGATGCGAATCTATTTTGCTTGCGTAAGGTGAATGTCCCAATTAACGACCGTAACCCGATTTGTGACAATTTCATCCGTTTTATCTAATAAATTCATTAATACGGGTCTACATTTATCTTGAATATGTATTTTACTTTAAATTTGCTATATTGTGACAAGTTTCGAATAAAATCAAGAATCACGGTAAATACTGAAAAATAATTTTATAAATGTTTTGTAACTAACAGTAACAGCTCAAACTTGCCGACATCTTAGAGTACAGGGTGTGGCTCCAAAATCCGGACAAATTATACATTTTTTCTAAACATATTTTTTATTGCAAAAACGAAAAGATTTACAAAATTTTTTTAACCACATTGTTTGTAAGGCCATAAAGAACACATTTACTCAATATATCCAGTATATTCATCTCAAGATATTCCAGTAATGATTGATTATTATTTTTTATTAACAAATTTATATATTTTTTTTATTTTCACGATGACTTTGTCATTAATTAGGACATTTACCTTACGTCACAAATTAGGTTAAAACTATACTGTCATATTATTAAATATCTCTCTCAGCCATCTTGAAGAAATATAGATAAAATCGAATCTTCCCACGTAAATAAAAAATATTACATAACTGAAACCCCAAATGTTCAAGTTTCCCAACAAAATCAATTTTATTTACTTATCTAAACACGTTTTAATTGATTAATTTACTTTCACGAAGTTACTTGGAGAGCTATTCGTGGAAATGGACCTGTTCGTGGAAAAGGATCCTGGAATATTTTTGCAAAATTCTCTTTTCCCCAATCTGGAGAATGTCGATTCAATCAGAATCCATTCCGAACAAGTTCGCAATAGCTTCCTCGGTTACTAATTGGGACATTCATCTTGTTGCAGTTTTGCAAACGTCGCGTTTACGTCGTCATTTTTTCCAAAAAACCATCTGCCCGCAGGAAGCGTGCTGTTGGAGCTGCGTCGCTTGCCGGGAGGACGCTTATGTGTACAACGACACGTGCAAGAATTGTTACCCCGGCTACGCGCCAAATTCCACGATGACCGGCTGCATCAAGCTCACCGCGGAAGTTATACCCTGGACGAGTCCTTGGGCGCTAGTACCGTTGATCTTCGCGTCCATCGGGATCCTCAGTACCCTCTTCACTACCATCGTCTTCATACGGTGAGTCGCATTTTGTTCAACGTCTTCTCATCTTTCCTCCTTTTTATCTCGTACACTCGAGATATTGTATTTCCAGCGTGTTATATCTCGACGACGAGATTCCTCCTTTGGGGAAGGGGGAATATAGCCTTCGCGATACATACCGACGATCAAAGATGCGAACGAGCGAAAACGCACTCCAATATCTTTCTTTGTAGTAAAAACGAAGAGGGATTGAGTGCGAAGTAACGTCATCGAGAATGAGAGCTTAAAGAGGTCCAAAGCCGGCGCTTGCGAAGTGAAAATTTAATCAAAGGCTTAATTAACGAGCTATTAAACTTACTTAATTAGAGGAAGTAAAAGGTTCGACGCACTGAATTACAAATGCGCAAGGGGGGAGTTTTTAAGACTCAGACCTCAATTTTCTTTTTAAACTCTACTCGCGTCGACAAGTTAACTCAGAAATTAGACGCGCGTGACTTTTTATGAGAGATATAATTAACAACTTGAATTAATTGTCGGGTCTCTGTTGATGTTTAAAAAGTATCATATGCTTTAATATCAAAGACTCTGAAAACAATTCAAAATTACAACGAAAAAAAGTTTTCACTCGCTCTGTCTGTACGAACAAGCAAAGTTAATTGATGGTATTTTTGCAAACAAAGCCTGACGTGTATCGTTAACTCTCTACAATGTATGTACAGAAAGGCGTGAAAATTATTAAAATAATTTTCGTTCCTTTATATATGTTAGTTTTCCCTAATTTTTTTTCCAATAAATGTCTAATTTTAGGAAATATTATAATTTGTTATCGATATTCTTCTTATAGGTTTTAAATGATTACAGGTTTGTATTACATAAAATATATAAAATAATGACGGATTATTTCACAAAAATAAACTTTATCCCAACAATAAATTTTCCGGGATTTTTTCTTAGTATATAAGTAATCCATTTTTATAAATATAAAAATATTTATTTTTACCTACAGAATAAATCTTACAATTAAAATCTAATATAATATATATTATACATTATATATATTATTAAAAGTAATAGTGTGTAGGCTCTATAATGTTACAAACAACGACGAAGAAAGCAAAAGGCAGTAAGAACCAAGGCATTGTATATATAATATGATATATATCCGTTATTTACGTAAGTTAATCGTCCAATATGTAATGCAAATCATTTTAAATCTATAAGGAATATTGATATCAGATTGTAATATTTTCTGAAATTAAGCATTTATTAAAAAGAACAATTAGATAAAACGAAAAAAGAAATCAAAATTATTTTAATAATTTTCATACTTTTGTAATTTTGAAATATATTCTTTAACACCTATTTCGTGTGTTTATCATTGTATAGCTTATAACAACAATATTACCATCGACCAATCTATTTATAATAATTATTAATTCCTATTACTCACACCAAAGTGGATGTTATTTAAAGATAATGAAATATTAATGAATTTGGAATTTAATTATATTCCATAATTTATACTTATATTCCATAATCAAAAATCTACTTTTTCTTGCAATATCGTTTTGTTCGACAAAAACGAAGAGGATAAAGAGGATACATAACTTGAGACGTCACATTTTTTTGACATTTGACTTCGCCTTCAATCCTCTTATGGAACCTTCGTACTTGCGCAATTGCAGATTCAATCGCACCCCGGTGATCATGGCGTCAGGTCGCGAGCTCTGCTACGTCCTGCTGGTCGGCATTCTCTCGTGCTACGGCATGAGCTTCGTCATACTGAGCAGGCCGACCACGTGGAATTGCACGTACTTGAGAATCGGCCTCGGTCTCTGTCTCAGTATATGCTACAGCGCGATCCTCACGAAGACCAATCGCATATCGCGGATATTCAACCAGAGCACGAAGAGGATCAAGAGGCTCTCCTACACATCGCCGAAGAGCCAAGTGGTAATAGCTAGCGGTGAGTACGAGTTGCACTCACCTCGGTAAACACGCCGACGAGCCAACCGGATCGAGAGGATAATTGCGCGCCGATGTTTGACGCAACGATGAAATAAAAGCCCGAAACCGTGCGCGATCGCAAGAAAGGGAATAATGGCCCGGTCCTTACGACGGAGTTTCGTATCGCCACTTCACGCGTAGGAGCCCATCAATTAGGACGATCTGTCAGAGTCTATCCACATTGTCCCGATCACGATTAAGCGTCACACCTTACACTGATCGTCTCATAAGTAGCTGCGTATTTATTAAGAAAAAACGAAAAATAACTTGGCTAAAAAAGAGCTGTAAGACAAAATTTGAATTTGTTAAAGTTTCCACTATATATAAATTGAACTATTATTTTTTCCAACTGCTCATTAGAAAAAGACTGACCATTCGAGAGTTGAGATATTTGAAACTAAAGTTGAGATACTTTTATATACTTTTTATACGTGTTCCTTGGCGTGCTATTTGTAATTTCTACTTTTAATTTCTTGTAAACTAAAAAATTAGAAATTTAATGAAAAACTACTATGATATTGAAGACTAATGCACTACTATTATACACGAATTTCAAAATTGTTGACCGTTTTGGTTGAACAGTACAGCAATGGAAAGTCTTCATAATTTATAGCATACAATGGCACTGCAAAACAGTCCCTCAGACACACAGCGAGACACTATCAGAACACACGAGCGCGCAGAGTCGGTTAGGTGCGCGATCCTGGATTACGTGACTCCCGTTTGTGCAGGGATAACCGCAGTCCAGCTCATCGGCACTACCGTGTGGCTGATAATCGAGCCGCCAGATACCACAGAGATCCATCCGTATCCGCTGTCCGCGGTGCTGACGTGCCGCGTCTCCACGTTCTCGCTGATGATGTCCCTTGTCTACAACATGTTCCTGATACTGATGTGCACCCTGTACGCGTTCAAGACCCGCAAGATCCCGGAGGACTTCAACGAGGCCAAGTACATTGGCTTCACTATGTACTCCACGTGTATCGTCTGGCTGGCCTTCGTGCCGATTTATTTCGGCACCAACAATGACTACAAGGTCTGTGACGAGCCGCAGAGGCGCGAATCACACGAGTGTCCATCACCACGCGAGCCTCACGGCGCGTTTTTCTGTGTTAACATGTAAAGTCGAGCGGACGGCTGCCTACGTTGCAGGTTCAGATCGCGAGCATGTGCATGTGCATCAACATCTCCGCCTCGGTCGCCCTTGGCTGCCTCTTCACGCCCAAGGTCTATCTGGTGCTGTTCCAGCCCTACAAGAATGTTCGCCCGGGACACCCCAACGTACGTACAACACTGGTCTCATTATTCATTCTCATCTAATGAGATGAAGCCCGTCCGGAAAATGAAACAGGGTATCCTACAATTAGAGAGAGAGAGAGAGAGAGAGAGAGAGAGAGAGAGAGAGAAAGAACCAAACGTCCGATAGTGTTTTCTGCGTGGAATTTAGAATCAATTTTAATTATTCAAAGTGTCGGAACCTCGACTTATTAAATTATGAATGCTTCATATTCATATTCAACGCAACATTTTTATGTTGCGTTTTAATGTAAATTCATACGAAATTTTATAATCAAATATTAAAAGACAAAATAGTTTTTTTTATAGGATTTTAAATTTAATCTTGTCACGTGCGTGCGTGCACGGCAAAAATATTTTAACAACATTTTATAGTCCCACTTGTGTAGTCCCCTTAACAAAATTTTATAGTCCCACTTGTGTAGTCCCCTTAACAAAATTTTATAGTCCCACTTGTGTAGCTATTCAAGTACTGAAAGTCGAAGTTTGAGAAAAATGTGGAAGCTATTTATTGGGGTAAAATTGATTTCAAATTTCACGGGAAACGACATTACCACGTTTACCTTCCACCATCCATCCGCAATTTTGTATGTCGCGCTAAAGTCGACGGAGTTTGAAGCACATCCTGCATGTGCGAAAATTGTCTGAACTCTGAACCTTTGTTACATATTTTCCTCCAAACCAATATTTTCTTCCTCGCACGTGCAAATAAATTTTTGCTAGGCACAATCCTCTATCCCATATTAAACACGAGCGCGCAAACAGACGCTTTGCTTTAATGCTTAAGTGAATCGCGTGTGAATCAGCGTTCAGTGTTGCAAATTACAACACAAAAGCGGAAATTGTCAATTCGATCCCGCCGCGTCAACAAATTTCTCTTACAAATCCTTTGTGAACATAACGAACGGTTTATTCCGGACAATCGTTATCAAACCGAAACGGATGCCGTTATTGAAACTGTTTGTTCTAGTTTCCATGCCCTGTCCACGAAAATTGATACCTCGCGCACCACTCCCCAACGTAGCTCTTCGTGCAAAGACCTACTGAGATTTAACTTCACGGTTACCGCGCTATAAAAATTATTTACGCACTCTTCGAAATTTTCCTTTATATATTTATCTTTTTTTTTTGTTTATACGAGGCAACAAAATCGGTCTGACGACACTCTTCAAATCGTATCACGGTAGAGCGACGAATTAATCAAATCCGTGCGCGACTCAGGGGTGCGTTCGAAAACACTGAAAGTCCACGACGGAAAGTGGCTGTGGTGGATGGGCTTGGCGGGGTTAGTGGAGTTGGTATCGAGAGGAGTTTTCGAACAACCATGGAAGAATGCTCAATGTGACATACTACATGTGTGTTGTACAAAATGGCTGATCGAAAGCGTATTTCGACATTAGCTATAATTGCTTCTCAGCAAAATAATAATAAATTAATAAATTTAGTAATTAATTAATTAATTTAGTAATTATTAATTTATAATTTAGTCATCTGGAAAGTTAATTGGTTATATATTCCTCGGTCCGAGAACTCGGATCGATTTCTAGCATCGTGGGCACCAGGCCTAAGGAAATTTATAAACTTATTTATTACTCCTTACCTTTAACATCGTATATATAGACATTTCCCTTGTCATCTTTTTGTATATTTTTTTTAATATCCATGCATAAAATATGACGACCCGGGATTAAATTTTCCATTTTTTTTCACAAATTGTTACTGATTCGTGACTTTTAACGTGCCTCGTAT